TCGGCACGGCAAACCCCAGTCCCCCTGAGCAGCTCAACACAAAAACCACAGCATCACAACACAGCACCATAGACCATACCACAACTACGACAGACCATACAACACACACCACCAACCACACGCCGCCGCCAAAAACGCCTGGTTCCCCCAACAATCTGCACGGTGTGTTCGATCAGGATATTCCGCATGTTCAGTTCTTCGTACCACGAGAGATTGGACGAGGAATTTCGAGGACCCGTGTTGTGCTTCGCAGTTGCAAGCCCCAACTGCGACGCCGCCCACTACCACCACAGGGCGGCACTTTCCACAGCAGCGCACACAGCCAATGACGGTCAGACAATACATATCCCTCACCCCCCGCATATCAACACGTCTCCCGAGCCACACAAAGCTCCATCAATTCAACTGCAACGGACTTCAGAGCAAGATCGAGGAGATAACCGTATTCATGGGCCGGCATGGAATATTGATAGCTGTGGTCCAAGAGACGAAGTTGCACAGCATCATTGTTGAATTGCGCCGGATACAATGTGCACCGTCGAGATCGCGCGCGAGATAATGGTGGAGGCCTAGCGTTCATCACGCACCACATCGTGCAGTATCGTGTCATCGAAGCACACATCGATCGCAGTGATACCATCCTAGACTGTCAAGGTATTTCTATCCGGTCAGGCGATGACGAGCTCAAAATATTTAACGTTTATGAACCCCCCATCACATGCTGTGAAATAGGTTCGCTCCTCAGAGATGACAACCGTATGGTAGTTGCTGACTTTAATGTGCACCACGATCGCTGGTATTCAAGCCTGTCAAATGATCGTAGGGGAACACACTTGGCTGAGCTGCTGCAGCTCGCCAGACATAAAAATCGTCAGCGCTGCTCACATAAACAGCATATCATGGCGACCTATGCAGACCTTGGCATCAGACCATCTGCCTTTGTCACCACGATTAATAAACCTGCCGAATTTGCTTCCGCGGAACACCGGACCTATATCAACTTTACTAAAGCTGATTGGAAAGGCTTCGCGGAATTTACTAAAATCACCTTTGCTATCCTCCCCACACCAACCGACCTAAGTACGGACGGGTTGTCACTCCTGATGCAGCGCTTCGTACTAGCAGGATGTATAACGGACCCCCGTCCAAACTTTTCTGCTGAAGCGGCTGTTCTAGCCGATGAGCGTGGCAATCTTCGTCAGGCCGATCCCGGAAATCCCCCAATCAGGGATGTCAAAACGGGGATTCGACAGGTTGTGAACGTACATAAGCGGAACTTCACCTCTGATGTGAGTAAGATTTGGTGAATCGTGAGGTCACTGTCAAATCCGACAAAGCGCGACGACAGAACCGATATATCTTTAGGTGACCGCGATTCGTCGGATCCGGAGTGATGCGCGAGATATTTTAGCCGGCAATTTACACTGCATCCTCCGGCGGACAGAGCCAAACTTCGAGTGACCAGAAGGCTGCACAAACTGTCAACAATAAGTGCGCTTCTTATTTTCACTTTCGGTTAAGTTCAGGTAGCCATTGGGAAAGCGAAAGCCTCCAAAGCCATGGGACCCGACGGAATATGCATGTTGATGCTGAAAATTTTGGGTCCTGCGGGAGTAGACTATTTAGCCAAGGTGCTCAACCTTGTAATGGCCACTCTCGTCATTCATCGTTCCCCGGATTTGTCGATGGATATTTATAGCAGTCGTTACACCGATCCTCCTATATAAAGCGATCGTGTGGTGGCCTGCGTTAGATAAAGAGGTCAACCTCCGACTTCTCACCAAAGTGCAAAGGTCCAGTCAAACGATGCTCTGAGCGCTCGCTGCTCTTAAGAGAGGCATCAAAATGGCTACCTGAAGCCCAGGGATAGTGAATTTGTGTACAAACAATCTGAAGAAAGATAGAGTCAAAGTACGACTTTTCGAATTTCCAGATAGACGTGGCCTAAATGGGACCGGAAGCGGTTACGAAGGGTATACTCTCTTAGAATAGAGGATATATCTAACGTAGTGGGGTCTAACCGGGCACTGTCTAACAGGTAAGCATGCAGAAAGGTTCGGCGTGCCTTTCCGTGGATGTTGCAGAAGCTGCAAGGACGAAGAAGAGGAGGAAACCGTCTCACATCTCTTATGTAAATGACTTGCAATGTGTAGAAGCAGGCTGCGTCATCTGTGTTCACCATTCCTGGCCGACCTTAGGGAGGTTTCAAATACCGACGCAAGGATGAAATTCATCAGCAACACGAAGTGGTTCAACAGGGAGGATATTTGAACGGCATCAACTATGGTAATAGGCCTTCTATCTATTGCCTAAGGGTGCCGCTAAGGTGGCAGCCACTTCCACCTACCTACGTCCCTACCTAATTAAAATAAATAAAAAATCTGAGTTATTTTGATAACAAGTTTAACGTCTTACTTTGGATGTCGTTCGTACCTTTTATGAGTATAATTCCTTCAGAGCAAAAAAGAGAAATTATAATAATTATAAAATGCGTAAGATTTAAACAAATATTTTCTCTTCATTGGAAATAACCTCTAACAAGTTTGGTTTTGGCACCGTCTAGTTATGTCGAAAATATCTCGAAAACCTTTTCACGACTTATCTTTGCAGAAGTTACTCATACGCCACGTACATATGAATAACACGCTTTTCTGCTCATTTTTTTTCATATACAAAAGTTTTGCGTATTTTCATTTGACCACTCATTATTTCTTTATTTATCAATCAATTTTCTTCATTAGTAATGGATTTTTTGTAGCAGAAATGCAAAAATTTGGCACAGAATCTGTTATTTTATAATTTTTGCTTCTGCTAAAGTTTGATTTCTTTTCCATTTTTTTATAAAAAAAAACAAAAAACTGGAATTATTAATTAATCTGTCCTTTCGGAAAATGATGTATATACGGTTTATTGGGAATTGTATTGGCTTTCATTTGGCGTATTTCATTTTAAGATCGTTAAATTGGTTCTTAAGATAAACGATTAACGACTTTTTGTTTTAAGCTGTAAATTGCAAATATCTCGAAAACGTATTCATAAAAAATTAACTCGTTTTTCGGAATCATAGGATTGGATAGTGGCGTTTGGAGAACACAAACCAAACTACAATCTGAGATGCAGTGTAATTGATTGCGCGAGCTTACATTGCCTTATAATAAAGGGTGCGATATAACAATTATGAGATTTTGTGCTTCAGATAAAAGGCTTAAAAAAGAACAAATATAGCAAACATAAAATGAAATATTTAAATGGAAAAAACAAAATAGCACTAAATTTTCAATTAAAAAGGTCCAGATATTTTAAAAATTTAGTTCGCCATGTTGTACTCGCTATTTTAAGAAGAAATGAGACAATTATCATAAATCTAAAGCCAAATGAAGAAAAAATATATTATTATTAGTTTAGTTGTCACTGTTGAGTAAATTAATAAAAAAAATGCCTAACGAAAATCATTCAAATTTATTAAATAAACTTTATATATGCATATAAAGGTTTTCATTGAAAAATGGAAAGTTAGTTTTTAAATATCAGTAGTTCATTAATTACTATAAAACTAATGAAATAGGTAGCCCCGATATTACTAATTAAAATGACATAAATAATTTGAAAACTAAGACTTTTGGCCACTATAGGGCTGGCCCATACGTTAACTTGGTTTTAATAGTAACGCTGCCTTTGAAAAACCTTCTAAACGGCTTTCATGTGCGGGACAAGATAAAACGTTTTAAAAACTCCAAAGCAAGCTCTTAGAACATAAAAAGGAATTACAAACATAAACCAGTTACGTAGTTTAAGAAAACACCCAAAAGTAATAAAAAAGCATTGCGAAGCTTTAAACTTTTTTGTAGTAAGTTCATCCTCTAATAGAATTTAAATGCTGAATTTTTTTAATGCAGTGTTAATGCCCTCAGACGAAGTAAAATCTGGGCATTTATTTACTACTAAGGGCCGAATTCACAGTGCTTAGTTAAACCATTGTTAACTTAACCACCAACAAGAGTTTAATTATGAATTTATATTCAGAGTTACATAGTTAACTATGGAAATTCGTATCGCCTGAAAATATACAAATTCTTAAAATCAATACATTGCTATTCAAATTTGAAATTCGTTCCACAAAAAAAAAATATTTCACAAGAGTTTAACTATGGGGGCATGCTGGTTTAAATTTTTGTTAACTGAGCGTTGTGAATATGAAAATCGATAGTTAAACTCTTATCAGTGGTTAACTAAGCACTGTGAATTTGACCCTAAAAATTAAAAATTTATCCAATTAATTTTCTTATGTTCAAGTTCTTAATGTAAGATAGTACGTTTCGTAATATAGCACATTAACTAGCCTGGATTGCTACAACTACTTTAAAACGCATTTGGCTTAAAGCACTTCAAAGTCAGAATGTTTCTTTTCCATATGTCTTTTCAACCAATTTAAAATTACTTAGTATTCAATTCTGAAATAGTTAATTGCCCAAAGTAATATGATTTTTCAACTAATATTTAATTATGTGTTTGCAAATGTATCAAGAGTGTAAGTATTTGGTTTATCTCAAGTAGGTGATTATACATCAATTTGAAGTTAGTTGCTACATAAGCAGACGTAAATTACTTTTTCTGGGATAATTGGTTGAGCACGTACTGGGTGTACATATTTACATATATGTTTATATCGTCGTTTCAAGTACAAAACCGCGCATTGCTCATACAGGCTCAATCCTTATCCATTCGTCCTGAAATGTACCAGCCAGAAATGCGATTGCTTTATAAAAAAAGAGGGTTACTTTGAAATACGAGTGGTTTTACTCTCAAGAAAAAATTTATGCAACGCAACCCATACGCGATTATGCATTTTGTTGATACGCGGCTTTGTACTTTAAACGACGATATGTTTGTATCTCTGTCATATACATTTATTATCCCCGAGTGAGCGCTTTGGTGTGTATTATACAAAATCTCTATTTACTTTACATTTTCTTATGTTGATTTACCATCGTTTTTTGCAGACGGACAATCTGAGCTGGATGTGCAATTAGTGGTACCGCGGTACGTGGAACGCGGCTCCAGCGCCACTTTTAAGTGCAGACACAACGTACGACCGGAAATCCTATATAAGGTAAGCAAACAGATTTTTTTCATTTACTTATCTATAAGAAACATACGCAATATTTAAAGAGAATGGAACATTTCAAGAACTTGTAATTTCGCCTCGGTGGCTACTTTAAGGTAGCTACATATTTAACCACCACTTAATACAATTAGAACCAGTTAGGTTTTCATTTATTCATGGCATTTTTGTATGCAAAACATGTTACTCGAGAATGAATAGCACAACAGAATAGGAGCTGCAACCTGGGATTTCATGCAAAAAATACCTGCTTACAGGCTTCGAGTCTCGTGCCGTTTTGACAATGAGGTTATCTGGTATATGTACATATGTAGGTGAAATATACATATTCTAAGCATTCTAAGTTTTTTACAATGATATATCTAAATTTTTTTCTTACCAAAAAACGGGACATTTGGCGTCCCGTCATGTGTTGTGGGACATAGCTCAACATCAAGGCGCACGCCAGAAATTGGAGAAGAAGCTCGGCCAAACACAAACATATTGCGTAAGTGCTAAGTGTCTTTTCGTTGTCTTGGTTCTAAAACAAAAACATAACAGACATTTTCAGAATGAATAAAACGCGGAATTTATTCTTTTTCAAATGGAGTGAATGAGCAAAAGGTACAAAATTTCAATATACCAACATTTCTGCAATTATTCACAATTTTTCCAGATATTTGATATCAAAATTGGCCTCCTAACAGATAACTAGTTCAAAATATAAATGTATCTGTTAAAAAAAAAATTTTAATCTTTGGAAACAAGTATTATGCTTAAGTAATCATATTTTTTACCTTTGGAGCTAAATTACCAATATTTAAGTTTTCATGTTGTACTGTTCAAAAGATTGTCCTCCACGCTATATCTTACTTCAGAAATTCAAAAAATGCCAAATATCTGTTTTTTTACACTTTAAATCCCAGAGACTTCTACAAGTTTAACCAATTTTAGAATTTTGTGGGTTGCGTTATTAAGATTTTTATAATTCTCAAAGAATATACATACGAACTAACAAGTGATTTATTTAAATCACATGCAAAGAGACTTTAGCGAAATAGCGTGGTAATAAGAACTTTTCAGCAATTAGATCAAGTTAGACGTCACAAAAATTCAGTGGGATCCTTCCTCAACTCATGTACATTGTACATACAAAAAAACTTTCCAAAAGCCTTAAGACCTAAAATAAATGGGATTAAAGACGCGTTATTTTAATTGCAATCCATGTCTAATTAGTATAATTAGCTGAATAACGAAACACTCATTAATCGACCTGTTTTTTTTTTAATATTTTGGGTTTTTGCAGCCCAATGGCGGCGAAAAAGCAATCAAAGGTGAAACAATTAAGAGTGGAAAATAAAAATGTATTAACATGACCTTACATACTAGAGGGCTCCATGAACTCTTTCAAACTTCTAGCCAACCAGAGTACAGTAGATTTGAATATTTTACTTCAAATACAAAACACTCAGCGCTTGGAATTTTGTAAGTTATGAATATACAGTTTGTTTAAATTTTCTACCTTCAAATAGAAGAATGAAAATAAATGAATGAAAAACATTCAAATCATTCAAACTCATTTCGGTAAAAGTTTATTTCTACAAACAAGTTTGTTCCCTGCAAAAAATGGGACTACCCCGGGATGACTCCGGGAGCAATCGCAAAGGAGCATGCGATACCACTTTTGATCTCTTTATATGGAATGAACTGATCGCTTTTGTTCGGGAATGTCCTATGAAGAGACTAATTGTTCACCTTTATACCCGAACGGGTATAAAAAGCGACCAGTCACTTTTAAAAAATAAAAATTTGCGCCAGGTGAGATTCGAACCGGGGTGCTCAGTTTTGTTAGGCGAATACTCTCTCTGTGCGCCAACGCCGCACATGAAATTTCATTGACTAAGAGCGTACATATCAATAAATCGTTAATAGTACCCATTGGGGACTAAGTGATCTCCAATTATACCCACAAGGGATGAGTCGAGACTAATTGACCTCCATTAGTACCTGTATGAGACTATTTGGGACTAATTAATTCCCAATTGTACCCGATTGAGAGTAATCTCGGAATACTCTCTTTTGAGATTAGTCGCACAATTTTTTGCAGGGTTCGTATTGTAATAGGAGCGCAGCAACACATACATACATACATACATATGTATGTTTGTAGATATGTACATAGAAAAAACGGCAATAACGCAAATTCGTGTTATTTCCCAATTGAATGTGAAATAACACAAATTTGCTTTATTTAATTTCTCGTTGAGCAAAGACCAACTTTTAAACTTTAAAATTGAGTAATAAATCAAAATAGTGCACGTTTATGTTGATGATGCATCTAAGTCGGCTGTAAATAAATGTGACCCACTAGTTTTGCCCGAAGATGTCTACCACCCTGCTATTGAGATATCTTACGAAATTATAAACGATGGTCAAAATTGCGATGTCCAAACATACGAACCAAATATTCGCTTTGATTTTTCGAAAGCCAACTTTAAACAAGTAAGAGCAGCGCTGTCTTCGGCTATGCCGAAGGCTTCATACCTTTCATGAACATCTGCAAATTTTACTTTGACAGATTACTGCTTTTGAATACATCTGCATACATCGATAGAGGAGTTACATACTTATATAAAAAATCGCATCTAAACAATCAGAGGTATGGAAGATATACTTTATATGACACCAATCTAAGTGATTTTCACCGCTATGTGATCGGTATGTAAACCGGTAACACAATTTATTGGGTTTAGTTTCCTACATAAAGGAGATATATCGCAAAAACTGGTATCTGAACAATCAGTGCTATAGGAGATAAAGCTTATACAGCATAGATTTTGACGATTTTCTCAGTAGACTTTGTATTATTATTTATAAAATATCTTACGAAATTTATCGGTTTTAGCTGTTCAAATAAAGAAGTTTTACAGTAAAATCCCATATCTGAACAATCAGATGTTTGGAAGATATATGTTGTAGTCATCCGATCCTTGTTATTTTCACTGTAAGTATTCTGTTAATAATGAGTGAAAATGGTGCGAAACTTCATGTTCCTAGCTGCATAAATGGAGGAGTTATGATAAAAGACCTCATATCTGAACAATCAGTTGTATGGGGGCTGCAGGTTATAGTGACCCGATCTTTATTATTTTCGAGGTAAGTCTTCTGTTGATAATGAGTGAAAACAGCGCGAAATTTCATGGTCCTAGCTACATAAATGGATGAATTATAACTAAAAATCTCATATCTGAACAATCAGTTGTATGGGAGCTATAGGTTATAGTTACCCGATCTTTTTAATTTTCACTGTAAGTTTTCTGTAGATAATAATTGAAAACAGTGCGGAATTTCATGTTCCTAGCTATATAAATGGAGGAGTTATAACGCAAAATTTTATATCTGAACAATCCGTTGTATGGGAGCTATAGGTTATAGTGACCCGATCTTTGTAATTTTCACTATAAGTATTCTGTTGATAATGGGTGAAAGTGCTGCGAAATTTCTTGTTCTTAACTACATAAATGGAGAAGTTATAATGAAAAATCTCATATCTGAACAATCAGTTGTATGGGAGCTATATGTTATAGTGGTCCGATTCTTCCGGTTCCGACAAATGATTAATACATTATAAAAATACACCCACCTACCAAATTTCATCCGGATATCTCGAAAACTGAGAGACTAGATTGCATACAAACAGACAGACAGACGGACAGACGGACAGACGGACAGACGGACATGGCTAAATCAACTCAGCTCGACGTTCTGATCATATAAGTATACATTTTCATGGGTCTATCTCTTTTTGTTCTGGTACTTACAAACATCGGACCAAAGTTATAATACCATTTCATGCTCATGAAAGGTATAAAAACTGAATAAAGAATTGTCTAAATTGTCGTGGCCTATATACAAATAAAAAGTTGAGCAAAGCGTTGCACATTTTAATTGTACTGTACATAGATTATTTGAAAAGTATGTGCCTCAACGCATGTGTGTTCCTGAAGAACAAACGCAGTTATGGTTCACTAAAGAACTGAGAAACTTGAAAAACAGAAAGTCACGTTATTTTAGATTACGCAAAAAAACCGGCTTACACTCATACTATGTAAAATACTCACTTTTGCGTCACAAGTTCTTTGAATTAAACAAAAAGTGTTATAAAGATTACTTGTGTAAAATCAAACGACGTATAATATATAACCCCAAATCATTTTATGATTTCGTAAACTCCAAGCGAAATGTACGGGGGTTTCCTTCCGCCATGATGTATCAAAATACCGTCTCTGGTGATTAAGAAACAATTTCTAACATGTTCGCTCAGTTTTTTAAATCCAATTATTCCACTAACTCCCAAGCATACTTTGACTATCCTTTTAAACTAAGTCCAATTAACTCAATACATCTTCTTCTTCTTCTTATTTGGCGCTGTAACTGCCTAAGCGATTTTGGCCGAGTCCAAAACAGCACGCCAGTCATTTCTCTTCTGTGCTAACTGACGCCAATTGAAAATGCCAAGTGAAGCCAAGTCCTTCTTCACCTGGTCTTTCCAACGCAGAGGAGGCCTTCCTCTTCCTCTGTTACCAGCATCGCGGCCCGCGTTGAATATTTTCAGAGCAGGAGCGTTTCTGTCCATCCGAACGACATGGCCAAGCCAGCGGAGCCGCTGAATTTTAATTCGCTGCACTATGTCTATATCGTTGTAAAGCTCATACAGCTCATCGTTAAATCGTCTGCGATATTCGCCATCACCAACGCGTCAATACATAACCCTATAATATCTCCCGATGATGTTTTAGTTTACCTGAAGTCCTTAAAGCAGTCTTTTAGTTATGGTCCTGACCAGATCCCCACTTGTTTTCTTAAAAATTGTGCTGATTATCTCTATGAGCCGTTAACAGCCTTATTTAATTTGTCTCTTAAAGAGGGCGTTTTCCAACTGTATGGAAGGAATCGTTCATAACCCCCTTACATAAAAGCGGTAGCAGGCCTTCAGTGGAGAACTACCG